AAATTCAGTTCAGTAACAAGTGGTCGCAGGTTGGGATTAAGCCAAAGCGTAGTCTTGGAACAAGCCAAAGTTCAGTAATAAGTGGTTGCAGGTTGGGATTAAGCCAAAGTTCAGTAACAAGTGGTTGCAGGTTAGGATTAAACCAAAGCGTAGTCTTGGAAAAAGCCAAAGTTCAGTAACAAGTGGTCGCAGGTTGGGATTAAGCCAAAGCGTAGTCTTGGAACAAGCCAAAGTTCAGTAACAAGTGGTCGCAGGTTGGGATTAAACCAAAGCGTAGTCTTGGAACAAGCCAAAATTCAGTAACAAGTGGTCGCAGGTTGGGATTAAGCCAAAGCGTAGTCTTGGAACAAGCCAAAGTTCAGTAACAAGTGGTCGCATCTTGGGATTAATCCAAAGCGTAGTCTTGGAACAAGCCAAAGTTCAGTAACAAGTGGTCGCAGGTTGGGATTAATCCAAAGCGTAGTCTTGGAACAAGCCAAAATTCAGTAACAAGTGGTCGCAGGATGGGATTAAGCCAAAGCGTAGTCTTGGAACAAGCCAAAGTTCAGTAACAAGTGGTCGCAGGTTGGGATTAAGCCAAAGCGTAGTCTTGGAACAAGCCAAAGTTCAGTAACAAGTGGCCGCAGGTTGGGATTAAGCCAAAGCATAGTTTTGGAACAAGTCAAAGTTCAGTAACAAGTGGTTGCAGGTTGGGATTAGGCCAAAGCGTAGTCTTGGAACAAGCCAAAGTTCAGTAACAAGTGGTCGCAGGTTAGGATTAAGCCAAAGCGTAGTCTTGGAACAAGCCAACATTCAGTTCAGTAACAAGTGGTCGCAGGTTGGGATTAAGCCAAAGCGTAGTCTTGGAACAAGCCAAAGTTCAGTAACAAGTGGTCGCAGGTTGGGATTAAGCCAAAGCGTAGTCTTGGAACAAGCCAAAATTCAGTAACAAGTGGTCGCAGGTTAGGATTAAACCAAAGCGTAGTCTTGGAACAAGCCAAAGTTCAGTAACAAGTGGTCGCAGGTTGGGATTAAGCCAAAGCGTAGTCTTGGAACAAGCCAAAGTTCAGTAACAAGTGGTCGCAGGTTGGGATTAAACCAAAGCGTAGTCTTGGAACAAGCCAAAGTTCAGTAACAAGTGGTCGCAGGTTGGGATTAAGCCAAAGCGTAGTCTTGGAACAAGCCAAAGTTCAGTAACAAGTGGTCGCAGTTTGGGATTAATCCAAAGCGTAGTCTTGGAACAAGCCAAAGTTCAGTAACAAGTGGTCGCAGGTTGGGATTAATCCAAAGCGTAGTCTTGGAACAAGCCAAAGTTCAGTAACAAGTGGTCGCAGGTTGGGATTAAGCCAAAGCGTAGTCTTGGAACAAGCCAAAGTTCAGTAACAAGTGGTCGCAGGTTGGGATTAATCCAAAGCGTAGTCTTGGAACAAGCCAAAGTTCAGTAACAAGTGGTCGCAGGTTGGGATTAAGCCAAAGCGTAGTCTTGGAACAAGCCAAAGTTCAGTAACAAGTGGTCGCAGGTTGGGATTAAGCCAAAGCGTAGTCTTGGAACAAGCCAAAGTTCAGTAACAAGTGGCCGCAGGTTGGGATTAAGCCAAAGCGTAGTCTTGGAACAAGTCAAAGTTCAGTAACAAGTGGTTGCAGGTTGGGATTAAGCCAAAGCGTAGTCTTGGAACAAGCCAAAGTTCAGTAACAAGTGGTCGCTGGTTGGGATTAAGCCAAAGCGTAGTCTTGGAACAAGCCAAAGTTCAGTAACAAGTGGTCGCAGAGATTTTGATGGTGGCAGGAGTGACAAGAGCAAGATAATGACTGGAGACAACACAATAATCTGGCAAACAGGAAGTGCAAAGGCATAGCTAAAATAAAAAGTTCATGGGGGGAGCAAAGCGTTCAAAGTTCAAGAAAAACAAGGTTTAAGGCAAGGTTGTTCAAGGAATTATTCAGGGATCTGTCCAGCATCCCAGGAGGCTCAGCAAGAAGATACATCGCCAGACACAGCAGAGGTTGCAGGTTCAGACCCAGGTCCCAACTGGAGCATTCACAAAAAAAACCCCACCAAAGGCTCATTCTGAGCGGAGGTTTTGAACACAAAAAACACAAGTGTGTATGTGCGTAAATGTATTCCAACGGCCAGAAAAATTTAACATTCTGGCTAGGAGAACACATGTACACTCAAACATCATATGCGCATAAACGTGCATACATATTATAACATTCTGGCAGAAAAACTGCTACTTATTTTCATAAACCTGTGTGCATGGGGCCTTATTTAAAAAGAAACAACATGGCATAACTATAACACGTGTCATTTTCAAACAAATAACTACATCCAAAGTCATACTTTGATGATATACTTTCACAATTTTCACATCTGTAAAATAACACACCTTGACATTGCAGCTTCATTCATTGCTAATTCATTAATGAATAAATAATTATGTAATAATAATTTGGAGAATACAAACATGTACTATAGAATAATAAACACTGCACACTGTTTTTTTTTTAGCTGTTTTAAAAACTCTTTCCATTGTGAAGCAGGATATGATTCATATGGCAGAGAGGAAAACAAATGCAACTCCAGTTGTATAAATGAATTCTTCTCCAGGGGTGACTGAAGCCTTCTGGGATGCTGGTAGAACTGTCCAGGTTACGGTATAGTTCTTGTTTGCATAAGAACTTGCTTTTCATCCCCAGTAGAAATAAATGTTACCGAAGTTTGTTTTTCTTATTAGGTTATGGGAATTCCTAAAAAATGGACGAAGAAATATGCTAGAGGCTGTCATACAAGCATCATTATGTGATTGTAAAGCTATTTTTCATTAAAATAACAAACATCTTATGCTTACCTGCTCTGTGTAATGGTTTCGCACAGAGCGGCCCCAATCCTCCTCTTCTGGGGTCCAATGCTGGTGCTCCTGGCTCCTCCCCTACTGAATGCCCACCATGGGAAGCAGTTTCCTATGGTGGTCACTCTCGTGGGGCTCGCTCCCGAGCCAGGCTGTTTAAGTCTATTCAGACACACACCACGGCACCATTCCCCGCTCTCTGCTCACAGGTTTTGACTGACAATGGGTCCAGCTGCTCCCAGCTAAGTCTATGCGGTCCGGGAGAGGGGAGAAGAACTGCTGCAGATGCGCACATCACTGGGCCGAAATCAAGCTCAGCTGAGTATTTAGGGGTGGCAACAGGGGAGCTGAATGTGAAGGGTTTTTTTTTTACCTGAAAGTGATTCTAAAGGCTTACAATTTTATAAAATAACAAACATGTGGGGCAGCACAGTGGCTAAATGGTTAGCACTTCCGCCTGGCAGCAATAGGGTTGTTGCTTTAAATCCCAACCACAGCATCACCTGCTTGGAGTTTGCATGTTCTCCCTGTGCCTGTGTAGGTTTCCTCCAGGTACTCCAGTTTCCTCCCACACTCCAAATACATGCTGGTAGGTTAATTGGCTCCTGTCTAAATTGGCCCTAGTATATGTATGTATGAATATGACGTAGGGACCTTAGATTGTACATCCCATGAGGGTTATTGGACTGATGTGAATGTACAATATATATATATAAAGCCCTGCATAAAGTGACAGCACTATATAAGTACCTGTAATAAATAAATGTCTATACTTACCTGCTGTGTGCAATGGTTTTGCCGGGATTCTCCTGTTCTTAGGAATGCATGAAGGTAAAAAACCTTAAGCCTTTAGAACCACTTTAGTGCAGGGAATGCATTAAGGTAAAAAAAACTATTACCTTTACAACCACTTTAAATCAGAACTAAAAGGCAAACGTTTTGGGGTTTTTTTCATTTTGGATAAAGAAGGGAAAGTAATAACCCCTGTCAGATTTTTTCCTTTGCACCCCATTAATAAGATTTTCCTTCCTGCCCCATAGCCAAAAGAGGAAGTGACAGAAATTCCTTGACAGTGAAGGAATCCTTCATTGTCACCAAAATCACCAGAACATATGTCTCCATTGGATGATTTTCCCTCTATTACTGTCCTGATGACAACCAATGCTTTGGGACTTTCTTTCACTCATGGTAATAATGGTAGACAGGATTAATAGAGAGAAGGAATTTCCCCAAAAGGGGCACCAACACAAATAAAAATCTGACAGATGTTCTGATCACTCTCCATTCTATCCAAAACAAAACAAAAAAAAATGTTACCTTAAGCTATAGTTTGAGTACAGCACTGAGGTCATAAGGCAGAATATGTAGAGCCTGTATGACCTTTGCATCTTTTTAAAGCTCATTTCCAGTTTTATCTTTCTTTCTCCAAGTTCTACCAATGCTTCTGACTTGCATAAAGATATTATTTTGAATAGCCTCTTTGATGCCTTCACGAAAAAATTCACATACTTAATCCAGGTTTCTTCTCTGGGGCCCCCTGTATTTCTGTCCTGAGCAACTCACTAAGGGTTAAGTTGCACACCTCGATTTCTGTTGAACCCTTGGCCCGCCTTTTAAAGATATTGGGTTTCCCCACCATTAGAAACATGCTCGGTGACTCATTCTGCCCATATGATTTCTTGGTATTTTGCCTCCTACTATCTTGGTGGGCTTTACCGTCAGAGGAATGTGTGCAAAAACTGTCAATCCTCTCCTACCAGAGTCACTACCATGTGCACTGCTGGGAGAGGGAGCTAGGGGAGAGGGCTTTCTCAGACCACCCTTGCTACTACTTTGCCCTGCAAAGGCCAGCAAATGAATGCAGAGATAATATCATTGAACATTTTAAATAGGTATAGTTTTGTAAATTATACATTTTTTAATAGAAATTTATACAGCGTGTACATCAACAGACAGGGGTGAACAAGGCAAGATGTATAAAATCTTACAATAAATTTTAGCTTTAAGGGCCTGTATTTAGGTGTATTTTCCCATTTAAAAGTGGCTGCATAGGCGCTACTGAGATTTGGTAGACAGGCAGCCAAACACAACAATTAGCCTAGTATACTCCTTCAACTACTGGCTACAGAAAGCTCAGCTCTGCCCTTTGCATGGCATCATCTTCTTCTACAGAACAAAATGTGAAGTGGTGAGCAGGGGTGGACTGACAACTCATGGGCCCCCGGGCAATAGGGGATCAGGGACCCCTGTGTCCTTGCCCAAACTCGAAAAAGCCTATGAAAAAGGTACCAGGGGCATCTCATGGGGCCCCCTACTGACCCCGGGCCCTCAGGTAGTGGCCGAGTTTCCAAATGGTCAGTCCACCCTTGGTGGTGAGTGGTGTCCACAAGAGGTATTTCTATGCACTTGTGCCTGTTCCCATATTGAATGGAGGGGGAGGAAGAGGTGAGAATACAACTCGCTCTCAACTCAAATAGAAAAAGGGATCTGAAACTGCAGAAGCTGGAGATTTTATAAGGTCATGCATATAATGCAAGCAGAGGATAATATAGCCACAAGGCTTATGTCTATAGGCTCATTAGCCTTACTCAATCATTTGATGCAGCCAATCTGATTTAACTAAATCAAAATCAGAAGCAAAAGCCCCGTTTGATCGATTTCATTGTGCTGTGTTGATCTGTCGTGGCATAATATTGTCAATAGCTTCTGGTCAACTGAGCACTCTTCATGAGTGATGGAGCACCAATCATGATATACAGTGGATATAAAAAGTCTACACACCTCTGTTAAAATGTCAGGTTTCTGTGATGTAAAAAAATGAGACAAAGATAAATCTTTTTGTGGCAGCACCCAAGTATTGCAGAGTTCCCGTTTAAACGTTAACATTTCTAACAGCCTCTGTTTGCAAAAACAAGGTCATCAGCTCACTTCCCCCCTCCCTTATTTCTTGTGAAGTAATGTGTTCCAGTCTGTAGCTGGTATTCTTATCTGTAGCTAAAGATAAATTATCTAGCAAGGCTATATTCTGAATTGCTTAGAAAGCCTTTTGAATGTACAGAAAGTGAAAGAGGAAATATATGTATTGTGACGTAATTGCTGATATGTATACTCTGTGAAATGTTTCTCAAGCCACTTAGCTTGCAGGCATGAGCCCTTGCTGGGTCACCCAGCGCTGATTAATAAAAAGTTTGTTTTCCTCAAGTTTGTGTCTGGAGTTTTACCTGGTATTCCCAAAGTTGCTACTACAATTTCCGAACTTTTTCCACCTTTAGCCCTGGTTCACACTGATGTGGTGTGTAATTTGCAGCATATTCTGTGCGAATTCCACACCGCATCAGAATCAACCCCCACGAAAACAGTCCGCAAAATGCGGTGTGATGTTCAGAATAAGATCGCATAGGTGTCAATACCCATGCGATTCGATTCTAGTGCGGACCCAAAAAAGGGTCCTGTACCTTTTTGGTGTAGATGCGGTACAATTAGAGCCATACAAAATGTATAGCTCCAATCGCACCGCACACAAATTGCATGCGATTTGCACAGGAATGCGGTGTGGTTCCTGTGCGAATCACATGTGATATACCGCACCGCATATATGTGAACCCAGGCTAAATGTGACTTATAAACCGTACAACTCAATTTAAAAAACAAACTGAAATCTTTTAGGGGGGGAGAGTAAACATTAAAGGGGAAAAAGTTCTGAAATGATTTATCTTTGTCTCATTGTTTTACATCACAGAAACCTGACATTTTAACGGGTGTGTAGACTTTTTATATCCACTGTAGATCAATGAAATGCTCATATTTTATAGACCTTTTAAACTTATCACTGAACATTATTTTATTTGCTGCATGTTTTTCTCAATAATGACCCGTTTGTCTTTGTTCTCTCGTACCTGGGTACATCGCTATTCACTACATGACTTGTCACCTCTACAAGATCAATATCATAAAGTTAATGTAACTTTTTTCGTGAATACATGTTTTATTGTCATATGTTGTTGTTACCTCCATTTATTTAACTAAGAGGCTAATTGTCAGGGGCCGTGCAGCCGTGCGACGGCGACAGACCCCTTCGGGTCACAGCGGTGCAAGTGCACAGGCGCGGGAGCGTGCGGGCGCACATGCGCAGAAGCGCGGAAGTGCGCGCAGGAGCAGTAGAGTCTGTGTCACCACTAGGTGGGCTATTTAAACCTGCAATACAGTACAATCAATGCCTTCTGGTCTACAACGTCCCTGCACTATTACCTGATCCTGTTGCTTGTATTCTGATCTGACCCTGACTAAAAAAGAACTCCGCCTGCACCGACCTCGGCTATCCCTGACCATCCGCTTGCCTACTCCCTTGTACTTGATCTGTCCACTTAATACTGACCTGGCTTGTCTGACTCTGCTGCATCTACATACCTGCCCCTGCACCTGGCTTGCATCCTGACATGTGCCATACTTACCTGCCGCTGCACCTACGGTCCTGCATGTGACTTGCATCTTGACTTGTGCCATACTTACCTGCCGCTGCACCCACAGTCCTGCATCGGGCTTGCATCCTGACGTGTGCCATACCTACCTGCCGCTGCACCCACGGATCTGCACCTGGCCTGCATCCTAGTCACTGCCATACCTGCCTGCTACCGCATCCATGCTGCCTGCTGCTGCACCTACGTTCCTGCATCCGCACCTGGCCTGCATCCGGATCTCCTGGAGCTACCTGCTGCCAGCTCCAGAGCCACCCGGCACTCGTGCCACTCCTGGCTCTGCACCCTCTGTTCCCACTATATCAGGGGCTCCGAGCGGGAGTCGTAAGAGGATGCCTTCTCTCCACGTCAGGCTCCCCAACCAGGTCGGTGACACTAATATACATATTTTGCTAAAGTTTTGGCGTACAACATTTTCATGTTACTAATCAGTCATACTTTATTTACAAATGTAGAAGCTTTGAGCATGAAATGATAAGTTCACCTTTCTAAATAAAATAATAAATGCACATTTTTTTGCAAGTAAAAAAAAATGTGCATTTGTTTATTTATTTTTTTTACAAGGAGCCTAGAAAGCATTGCGCCCGTGTTCAACAGATCGCAGGTGCAATGCAGGACTCCAGCAGACCTGTCAGTGTATCTGTCTGCTTGTACCTTGTATGGACAAGCAGATACACACTGACAGGAAGAGTCAATGAACTACCACAGCACTCAACAGTGCCATGGTAGTTCATTAAGAACTACAAGCCGACAGCCACAAAGGCTGTGGGTACTTGTAGTTTCCCATTCCCAGAATTCTGTGAATGAATGACGCGGCCGGGCGAGCAATGCCCTGCTTGGCTGCTTTTTTTTTTTTTTTAAATAATGACACCTAGTGGGGGAAAAAGTTTCCCTGCTAATTGTCACTAGATGTGAGCGACGGCTTCGAGAGTGGGAACATATTACATGTTCCAAAAGGTGAACTTATCCTTTAAAGTGATGTTAACAAACATGTCATATTTACTTGCTCTGTGCAATGGTTTTGCACAGAGTAGCCCGGATCCTCTTCTTCTCGAATCCCCTGCTGGTGCTCCTGGCTCCTTCCTCTTGCCAAGTGCCATTAGAGCAAGCAGCTTGCTATGGGGGCACCCAAGCATGTTTGCTTCTGAGTTGCTGCTCTGCCATAGCTGCTACCTGCGTAGATGAAGAAAGGGAGATCTGTAGTTTCCACTGGCCCCAGTAGATGATAAACACAATATAGAAAGATTCACCTCTGTAGGAAAGCAAGAGATGCCATTTATTTTTGTATTTCTCACACTTGCCTACTGTGACAGGTACAATGTTTGGTAGTGGGGCCAACAAAGACAAAATTTGGAGTTGAGATTTAGAGTGCTTTAGGGCCCATTTTTCTGAAAGTATCACATACTTCAAAATGCAATTAAAAAAGGAAATATTTTATATGTTTTAAGGATCTTTGTGAATGAGGTTATTCCTTACCCAAGAACAACTCCAGACAAATCTGCTCCATTTTGTGTGCTCTAGATATAACTTGATCTCTTTCTACATTATCAAAGAGCTCAGCAACAACCCTGGAGAAACCATGCACACACTGCAATGGTTCCCAATATTTTTCTTTAAGCAGAGAGCTTTGACCATTGATTAGGTCCCCATAAAAGTTCATTCACACAGATCCATCTAGCTCAATCCAAATCTAAGAGACGAAGAATGCCAGTTTAATCTGACTTTTACAATATGGTGTATTTTATTTGATATTTGATTTGTTTTCTACTTCATGATATCCCATGGCATCTCAACATACATTTGCATGACCATGTTATAAATATGCTAATATGTGGTTGTAAAAAGTTTTTTTTTTTTAATCTTTGTGAGCTCAGGCCTATCTCCAGTATGAAAAAAGCTCCCCTTACAAACTGGATGACCAGAATATGTCTCCCCGCGTAAATGAAGAAAGAGAGATCTGTAGTCTCCACTGGCCCCAGTAGATGATGTACACAATATATACACCAAGTGGCTGAGTGAAAGATTCCCCTCTGTAACGGACCAAGAGATGCCATTTATGTTTGCATTTCTCACACTTGCCTACTGTGACAGGTACATTATTTGGGAGTGGGGTCAACTAAGGCAAAATTTGGAGTTGAGATTTAGAGTGCTTTATGGCCCATTTTTCTGAAAGTAGCACAACTCTGTATTTCAAAATGTAATAAAAAAGGAAATATTCCATATATTGTTAAAAAATTATATATATCATGCATTTTAGTTTCTATAGTGCTTGTCTATCTGGATTCCTGGACATGCTCTGGGAAGATAAGTTTCTTTGCTTTCATCCCTCATTAGCTCACAGAGGGCACACCTTATGAGGTAGAGGTAACTGGCCAAGTGAACCGCAGCCAGTTTAAAGCCTCTCCATTGTCAGAATTGGCATGCAGGCAGCCGGACCCAAGCCTAACAAAGCACAGCTTCTCCAGAAGACCCAAAATTTCCAATGGGGGGGTGCTTTGTCTTTAGACCTTGGATCTCTTTATCTGCTCGCCTGTGTTACTAGAGCTACTTTGGACTTCACTGTGAGGGATACTGTCTATAAGGAAAATTGCAAGTAGCTGTGATTTGTACTGTTTTACTGAAGTAGCTATTCTCAGCTAGACTCTGTTGTTATAGAACCTAGGACAGGTCATACATAATTCAATTTCTTTCATTCAACCAGGGAGTTGAAAAAAGTAAAATGATTTGAATTCCCCATCCACACATGGGGTGGAGGAAAATCCCTCCTGCGAAGCTATTGTATTCTGACAGCGGGGAGGCTTCACTGCTGTCAGAATATACTCATCAACACCATTAGCTATAGCTGACAGCACTGATTGGGAGGACATTTTCCAACAGGCTGGTTTCACAGAAGCCAGTA